GTTTCCCTAGGTTTATTGTTCTTTAAATTTGCTTTTTTTTTTTTTTAGTATGTTTGTTTTTAGGATTCACTGAGTTTCTGGAATATATGGATTTATATATTCAGTTTTAGAGATGTCTCAGTTTTAATCTTTTCAATATTTCTTCTATCCCCTTTCTTTCTGCTCCTTGGGTTTAAGTACATATATGCTAAATGACTTGATATTATCCTAAAGATATCAGATGTTCCCATCCATTTTTCCTTGATTTTGCTCTTTATATTCAGTTCATATAATTTCTACTGACCTATCTCAAGTTTGCAGGTTTTTTTTCTCTGTTACGTCCATTTTTTTTCTCTGTTATGTCCAATTTGCTCAAAATTCTAAAAACTTAACTTTCTACTTCTTATTTCTACTATTTTAACTTGATTTTTAAAAATAGATTCCACCTTTTTGCTAAAATTCCCTGTCTGCTCATCCACATTTTCCACTTTTTATACAGAATCTGTAACATATTTATCATAGTGATTTTATAGTCACTGCCAGATAATTCCAAATCTGGGTCATTTCTGTATTTTCTCCTATTAAGCATTTTCTCTCTTGACCATGGCTTACATTTTCTTGCCCCTTCATGTCTCATAATTTTTATTCTATGCTAGATATTGTATAAAAGAAAACAGTAAATAATACATACCACAAAAAACATTTTGCAATTTTTTCTATCGGTATTATCATTTGAAAGGCTGAATCAAATCTTTCGATATGCTGAGCCTGGGTTTTATTGAAGTTTCAATTCGGCTCAGTTTACTTTTGCTTTCAAGTATGCTTGAGTTGTCGGCACCAGCACAACTCTCAAGATTAATGTGCACATACGAGCTCATACCACCAAGCTATTCGATACTTTCTTAGCTGAAACACCTAGCCTCCAATATCTCTACAGGTTGTTTTCTTTACTCTCCAGTCTTGCCTCTCTTTCTGTGCCTCAGGAGAATTCTGGGCATCCTGCCACCCTGCCACCAGCCTTCACAGAGCTGCTGCAGTACACTGGATAAAGGCCTAGAATTTTCAAAGAAATTTCTCTCAGCAATCCTGCCCTACTCCATGCCTTTAACATACAACATTTGAGCACTTAATAAAGATCGTTGGGAGAGAACTGGAGAGTGAGTGTACACTCACTCTACCACTGGAACTGCATGAGATTGTAATTTATCATCCTGCCCCACACACAGACATAGAACATTTGGCAGATCTCCCTTTGCTCCTGTTTATGGTGCATTTCTCTTTCTCCCAGTTTTGTAGGAGATGAAAACAACGAAAATTCTATTCTCTCTTAGGAAGCCCTCCTTATCTTTTGGATTTAAGTTTACTTAAATTTGTATCCTCATTTCTTTGATAAGTTTTTTAAAACTTTTTTAAACATCTTCTCTAGCATGTGTTTGTTGTGAAGAAACAGTCTTTTATAACTTATAAATCCAGATTAGACTCCATTTTTTCCTTATTTTATATTTATTTCAGAACACCTCCTCAAGGACTTCTGGATCCAATTCTCCTCATTTCACCAGCAGTGATGAACACTTAGAAAAAGAATGAAAATACCCTCATTTTTTTCCTCCTAACCAGTTAACTATTCAATGTCATCACTGATATTTGTTTAGTAAAAGTTGCAGACAAAATTCCCTCTTCCAAATTTAATGCAGATATTCATGCCACAGGGGTTAACAGCTGTGGCTTTGCAACCAAAATATCCAAGTTCTAGTTGCTGGCTGTGTGACCATGTGCCAGTCATAATACCTTGGATCCTCTATTTCCACTGTTTGAATAAGATATTGGATAATAAGAGAACCTAATCCATAGCATTTCTATAAAAATTAAATGAGATGACATAAACTACTTTACACAATGCCTTCCACAATAAATTCATTCATTTATCAAGTTTTATTGAACTACTAAAATTATTCTCATTACAAATTATGATTATGACCAAAACCCTATAAAAGATGATTTATTATTTGGGAAAGAAAATTTTAACACATGGGGAGAGATTAGCTTCATGCAGGTGTGAAGCAAGACAAATGAGATTCAGGAAGTATAGAATATCCTGCCTAAAAAGGATTACAGAGACATAGGCAAGAGTTTCAGAAAGATAAATTATTTGCAGAATTTAATACAGACCTCTGCTTTTAAAATAAAGGGAATGACAAAGTTGTGTCAATAGAGTCAAGAGTTTACTGCCAGTGAATGTAGGTCAGATGGCACAGGGGGAAATGGTGGTTTTGCTAATGGTAGTTTTGCTATGTATCTGGGGCACCATCTCTGAAAATCAGCCAGAAAAACATCAATCTTTTCAATTCCAGGTTTCTAATGTAATCTAACCAGGTTTCTACTGTAATCTGACCAGCCTAACAGTGGAAGGTGGTGAGCTGTGAGAGACTTATATATTAACATTTGATAAATTATGTGCTTTAAAGTAATTATGTTACTTATCAGCTTATAATTTTTAATAGGCAATTTCTAGAAAAGTATTTTTTGCAAAATTTTTACTTATGGCTAACTGGTATTAGGATTTGGGTGATTTACCATTAAAGCAGATAAAAGGCAGATGAAATGAGAGAGAAGGCTGTTTTCAAGATTTAGTACAACTTAGAGAAATCCCTTAGCTTCAGCCAGTATCATATATAACCAGAAGTCATTAGGGAAGTATATTCTTCTATTGAAACTTAACCCAGACTGTTAAAATCATTGGCCTTTATATCTGTTAGCACCTAGACCAGTACTGAATTTAGAACTCAGGAAATCATTGTTAATTAAATAAATGGAAGCTTTTCAGAAAATGTTCCTTTCAAAATGTGCTTTGATGATGAAAAATAAGGGCACAGGAACAAATGTACCAAACATTCAATATTTGTCTTTCAAGTACTTCCGTTATATGGATGATAAATTTTTCATAATAGTATCTAACATTTACTGAGTGCCCTACAGGTATCATCTCCCATCTACAACTTTTTGAGATAGATATTATTACTATATTCATTTTGCAGATAATACAAATTGGATATAAAGAAGGCTAAGTATTTTGCCCACTCACAGAGATTTTGTTACCTCTGTCAGGCTGGGCTCATTTTCAGGCCATGTGGCTTCTAAGGCTGTGTTCCTAACCCAACCACTACACTGCTTCTTACAGCAATATTCTCCTAGGAGGACTTATTCCTATGTGAATTCCAGGAATTTTGATAAGAAACTGTGCTATATGGCCATATGTTTTAAGTTAAATAAGGTTAAGTGAGAGAATACTAAGTACTCCCTTAAGAATTAAAGAAATATAAAAGTAACTTTTTTACTTAAAAGTAATACACCTTACATTATAGAGCCATTTGCTAATTTAACAAAAATAAAGAAAAAACATATACTTTCAAAATACAGGCAACTATATTTCGTATATTTCTTTCAATTCCAAGGCAGGTATGTAATATACATTTATATAAATGTTCTATATGTGAATATACTTTGCATCCTATTATAATACCTTGTATCCTATATTTTGCATCCTGATTTTACTTAATTTTATTTATTACTTCTCGGATGACAGCTTTATAACATGATTTCTACTGGCTTTATAAAAACTCAATAAATGGCTATTCTATAATTTCAGTAACTCAATAATTCTAAGACGAACATCATATCCCCACAGGTGGACTGTCAATTTTGAGAAAAATGTTTGCCCACAATTCTGATTCGTTTTAACCAACCTATTAATTTTGAAATTTCAAACAATGTTAATGGAAGAAACCCTGACCCTCCCCTTTGGAAAATATGGGCTAAATAAAAGGGGTTGAAAAATAATGATTTTATCAGTGTCTCTTATTGGACATTCAGTTGATTTAAATAGATACCCCTTATTCCCAAATCTTTTTAGAGTTCTCATCAGGCTTAGGATACTTCTGAAAGAGTGGAATTGCTGGGCCAAACGATGTGAACATTTTAATAATCTTGATACATTATTAACTGTCTGGCAGAAAACTTAGGAGTTTTAAATATCCGACAACATTGTATGAGAAAGCCCATTATATCACATGTGGATCTACAGTAATCGTTTTAATCTTTAAATTGTCTGTTGTTCTGACTTGCATTTCCTACTTTTACATAGTTTCATATCCCAATTGGCTGAAACACAATGATCCTGTGGAAGAGAGAAATAAATCACTCTCACTTCCTTGCTCCTGTTTGTGACTGTCTAACAATGGCTACTATTCAATAAACATTAAACTCTCTGCAGGCAATGAGACTAGTCTGCCCTTAATATTATTACCGGCATTTCACTGAACCCTCAACATGACTTTGTCGTTGTTCTTGTCTTCTAAGTGAAATAACCTAGACGTGGGGAAGAGCAGCCCTAACCCACAGCAAAGAGCTGATGTACCAGGATCCCAGGCGGGGCCTCACACACCTGTAATGAGCAAGAGTTAAGGGGTGGGGAGGGGCACCATGGGCAAAGCAAAACAAAACCAAACAAAAACAAAATACGCCCTTGCAGTCTGCTGTTTCCTTCTAGTTGGCAAGAGTTTCTAAATTAAAACAGACATAGCTTTGCTGCTGTCAGAGGCGAGCGTACTGACCAATTTATCCCATTCCTAGAGCGTCAGCAATGACTAGCATTGCGTGAGCGACGAGACTGCTCAGCAGAGAGCTGAAGAAGATGGTACATATTTTTCTTCTTTCCAAAAGGAAATGGTCTAATGCGGGAAAAAGGAGAAGGGACTATTCATAGGAAATTCGTGGCTAGAGTGGACACATTTTACTTTGAAGTCTGGGGGGACACAAAGGAAATGAAACCTTAGAGAGCGTACAATCACAAGACCTGCGCCTCCCGGCTCAAGCTGGAGGATGAAGGGCGCATGCGTCCCACTCAGGCCGGGGACTCTCGTCTCTCCGTGAGCGCTATGCGCAGGCGCCAGCGCAGGTTGCAGCAGCAGCGCATTGCCTCTGCCGATGCCGTAGTCGTCCTGCCCCTCCCCCGTCCTAGCTCTGCGGCCGCGCTCCAGGCCGGTTGCTCCACCCCCCACCCCAACTCCCAGGAGTGTGGACTCCACGACCCTGTCCTCGGTCCTGTCCGCGCGGAAGCAGCCCGGGACTGCGCAGTGCCCCACGTGCCGGTGAGCGACCCCGGACATGCAGTCCCCAGGTCCCCTTCCGGAGCGGGGCTGAGCGGTGGCGCCATAGCTTGAGCCCGGCCTGACAGGGAGGGGAGGCCGCCGGAATGCCGGGCCGCAGCAGGAACTGGCGGCGCTCGGGGCTTGTAATCTAGGTGTTGTGTCACCTCTTACGAGGCCCAGCCAAGGAGCTCCGGGCTGCGGCCCGAGCCCAGCCTCTGGGTTGCCTCTAGGCCCTCACACTTTGAGCACCAGGTGGCCCCCTTGGTTTTGCTGTTGAAGAATTTTCTTGCTGTGTTGCTGGGATCTTATTTTTCAGCTTTACAGAGTAGGCTTTGTGCTAGGTGTTGGTTATGGAGCTTTTTAAAGGCGCTGGTTTCCCTCGTTCTCAAGCCCTTTCAGAACTAAAACCAGTGTCTACACAGAAGATCAGGAGCCATTTAAATTGGATGGAGTGCTGTGATCTATTTTTTTCTCTCCAAACTGAATCTGATATCCATGTTGGCTTTCAGTAAAGTAAGGAACCGCTGTTATAACAGAGAGATGGAGAAAAAGGGTCTAGCACTCATTTTTTAAACCACTGAGTCTCCAAGAATAAATAAAAGTGGTTAAACTTGTGAGTTTGCTAAGGAAAAATCTAGCAGAGAAAGCAGGGGATTCCTGGTTTCTGACAAAGTCTGTTATGTTTGTCCAAACATCTACCTAAAGCAGAATCAATCAGGTCAGCTGTTAGATTAGGACAGAAAACAGGCCCAAACGGAGAGCTACCTGAGTTTGTCTTTCTGTGTTTTTTCTCCCAACGCGCTCCAGTAAGGTATATCTTAAAGCCTGTCTATATTGACTGAGATCCCAGACAGTGTATCTCTGAGGCTGAAAGGTTCCCTTAAAGCCTTGCTGGTAAGGCCCAATGATCCCAGTATATCTGGTGTTCTGCATAGACCCCAAGGTCACAGTGTGTGTGGACAGTGATGTTAATTCTTCCCTGATCTACCTGTGGCTGGCAGGTGTTGATTTGACTGGAGTATTGTGTCACTGAGCCAAATTAAGACAGTGATTAAGTCGCAAATCATTTGTGGTTTTGCATTTAAATGAGTAGTGATTTTTATACATACATAGATTGTTTTTTGAAATAGTGAAAATCTCATTTTACAGTTTTGTTTGTATACTGTTTGTATAGATTTTTTATTCTCTTTGAGTACAACAAGTAGATGGAATGGAATTTTTTTAATCTTTGTATTTGTTTTGGATATATTCATGGGGTACACGTGCAATTTGCTACATTGATACACGACATCCTGGTGAAGTCAGAGCCCTCAGTGCATCCATCACTGGAGCAACACACATTGTACCCACCAAGCAACCTCCCATCAGCCATGTCAAGTTTAGAAAGTAAAATTTTCTTCATACTATAGGATGAATTGACTTATTTGAAATATCTGTTTTGTTAAGTGAGAATTTTTGAAAGAAATACTATCTGTATGATGTTTGTAAACGATTTTTAGGAACTGAGAAAAGATACCAAATTGAGAAAGAGTACAATTATGTTATTGTTAAGTTTTGCTTTTTATTAACTGTTTCTCGGAATATAAGCAGGAAAGTATCAGCAGGGTGTATCATATGACTATTAAGTTCTTTTCAGCTTTAAAATTGTATGACCTTAAGTATAATGTTACTTCATTATCTACCTGCAGAAGTTCTTTTTGTGTAGGCACTAGTACTAATTATTTATTTCTACTTAGATTTTACATCTGTATTTAAATTTCCCCATGTTATTTTGCTACTTTTATCCTGAAATTTTAAAGTTAGTGTTCTAAATTTTGCTGCTTTGTAGTGGTAAATTATATGTAACATTGTGGAATGTTGGCTTTATAACTTTAACTCTGTCAACTGTTGAATGAAAAAAACCTGCATGATTTTGAATTTTTAGGGCTTTTTATTGTTGTTGCAAGTTTAAATGTTTAAAGCAAGAAATCTAAGGATGAAAAGGAGTGTTGATCGTATTTATCACTAAGGTGCATGAATTTTCAGAGGCTGAAACACACAACTTTGAAGTTACCTGGTGATATACATTAAATACCTAGTTATTGTCTACACAAAGCAATTTTTGCCTTTAGTGCCAACTAGTTAAAAGGTAGAATGTATTTTTATTTTACTCTAAGAAAAATGAAACCTGCATGTTTCTTTTCAGAGAACCTGCAGAGGCAGACTTCTGTCAAATGTTAATATTTTGAAAGCCCATTCTCATTATAAGCATGATAGGATATCATTTCATATTATTTGGTTTACAAAAAACACTTCTGGACTCTGGTAAATGGATTTCTTGTTTCAGACATTATTTTGATTAGATATAATCTTAATCCAAAAGACAGTTTGAATATTCTCTTAAAGTTTGTTCTGTAAACCAAAAATAAAATTCTGAGCCCCCCAACTGACTGAATGGACCCCCACTTCTCTGTCAAGGGCATTCCAAAGTAAACCTAAAAAAGTAGTTTGGGCCATGATGAAAAGGCAGGGGAGGGGATTAAACATGCCTCATTATACCTTTCTCCCTTTGGAATTCAAACACAACAGAGCAGCATTAATCAAAACAAGAGATCTTAAGACTAACAAAACAGTATCTTTGTAGCAATAAGACATCAAATCTCAACCTGACTCCAATATACATCACTTGACAGATAGCAGGTCTTGAAAGAAATCAAAATATCTTACCCCAAAAACATATTTCTTTGAAATGGCCTTGCAAAGCTGTCTCTTGTGGGGAAGATCCACATTCTCTACAGAATACCCTTTCCTTTCCAGATCTTTTCCTAATCCAGCAGAGATTTAACTAAGAGCCTGGAATACTTGAGGGTGTTAAAAGAGATACTTAGAATCTGTTCTCTCTGAAGCCAGCTACCTGGAAGCATCCTCTACATAAAAAGAATGATGGCTTCCACAACCTCCTCCCTTTGTCTTAATTTCAAACATTTCTTTCTGCTGACTTCAGCTCCTCAGGTAGAGTTTCACCCTTTTCAAACAATTGCCATTAGGAAATCTTTAAATCCACCTATGTACCTATGACCTGGACACCCCCTAGCCTCCCACACCCACTTCAAAATGTCCTGCCTTTCTGTGCTGAACCAATGTATACCTTACATGTATTGATTTATACCTCTGCCTGTAATTTCTGTCTCTCTAAAATGTATAAATCAAGCTGTAACCCAACTACATTGAGGTCATTTTTCTAGGACCTCTTGAGACTGTGCCTCAGGCCTTGGTCACTCATATTTGGCTCAGAATAAATCCCTTCAGATATTTTACAGAGTTTGACTCTTGCTTGATTGTTCTAAGTTAATTAGTATAAATATCTCATAGGGTTCTTGAATATATTCTTTTCCCTGAAGTTTACTGTAAGATATTTATTTTTCTGTAGACATGGGAAAGTCTCTTTCTCATTTGCCTTTGCATTCAAGCAAAGAAGATGCTTATGATGGAGTCACATCTGAAAATATGAGGAATGGATTGGTTAATAGTGAAGTCCATAATGAAGACGGAAGAAATGGAGATGTCTCTCAGTTTCCATATGTGGAATTTACAGGAAGAGATAGTGTCACCTGCCCTACTTGTCAGGGAACAGGAAGAATTCCTAGGGGTATGTGTTATTGCGTTGTTTTCCCTTTAAACAATGATTTCAGGTATTTGCTCAAATATTATAAAAACTATGGGTCTAAGCAACCACCTGTTTTAGAAGACTTAGAATTAAAGTTGAAACATCAGTTGTCTTCGAGTAAAAAGATGCAAAAGAAACAAACAAAAAATATTAATTAAGGTTCCTAAAGTATTAAGGAAAACAACCTTACTACCTCCAGTATTTTTTCTTTCCCACCTACTATTATAGCAGATATTCACTGTCTGGCAAATGAAAACTTTTAGTCCTATTTGGCATTTATAGGGATGACATCATAGTTACTTTGCTACTTTGCTATATCAGATGTTAGAAGCAATTTAAGTAATTCGTTGACCTAATTTTAGTTTTTTTCAGAGATGAGGTCTCACTATTGTTGGCCAGGTTGGTATTGAACTCCTGGCCTCAAGCAGTTCTCCCATCTCAGCCTCCCAGGGTGCTGGAATTATACCAGTAAGCCACCATGTCCAGCCAGAATATGTAAGGAAGCTTATTCTTTCATGTTATTTTAAAAACTTTATTTTTAATAGTAAAGATGGAGTTGGAGTTCCCCATGTTTACCAGGATGGTGTCAAATTCTTGCACTCAAGGGATCATCCAGCCTTGGCCTCCCAAAGTATCAGAACTATAGCTGTGAACCACCACGCCTGGCTAACCTAATATTTTTAATTCATTCTCTAAGAAGAAGAATAAGATGGCTATGCCCTAATCAGTCATTTCTAAAAGAAACTCTATGAAGAGGATGGTATGTAAAAATGAGCCAAATTGGAAAAAAAAAATTATTTGTGATATATCACAGGGGAAGGCAGAAGGAAATAATCCCTATGTGGTGCTTACAAGTTATTTTAGGCGCAGTGGCAATAAGCAGAAAAAATAAAGATACCTTATCCTGTTCTCATTATATTCTTGGTGAAATTCGATATGTGACCTTGGAGACACCTTAGGGAAGGAGGACAAAATGCAAGTATGCAGTATACCAGATTTTCAGAAATGCTTTTGGTTGGAATTGAAGTTTACATTTGTGTTAGCCTTTGAGTATGATGGTTTTATCTTCAGAGGATAGTAGCTGTTTGAGAATAAAATAATTACTGTAGTTGAAGGGATTAATGCACCAGGCTCGGAGATGGAGGAATACTGGTTTAACAGTCTGGTTACATTTTTGAGTTATAACCAGTAAACTTTTTTGGCCACCTTGATACAGAGTATGGAAAGTAGGAAATCAAGGTTGATTCCAAAGTTTTTTTGTTTTTCGTCTGAGCAACTTAGAGAATGTAGTAGCAGTTTATTAAAATGGAAAACAAGGATTTGAGTGTATATGTCACAGGAGAGTTCAGGAGCTCCAGTTTAGACATATGTATTTGGAGATGCTTATTTGACGTGCAAGTGGATATGTTCAGTAGGCTGTTAGTTATCATAAGGGTTAGGAATTCAAGGGCAAGGCCCAGCCTCAAGTTATCAATTTATAGATGACACTTAGAGCTCACCTGAATGACAGTCCCAAGCTAGTTGGTGCAGATAGCAAGATGAGACCCTGGCACTGAATCCTGATACACTGTAGCATATCAAGGTCAGTGAAAGAATTAACAAAGGATCCTGAGAAAGAACAGCCAGAATGAGAGGAGGAAATCACTTTGTCTGGTATCATGGAAGGTAAGTGAAGAAGGTGTACCAAGGAGGAAAGAGTGACCAACGTCAGTTGCTACTGATAGATTGCGTAATGTGAAGACTGAGAGCTGGCCAATTGGGTTTGCTGATACGGAGGTCACAGGAGAGTTTTAAAGAGCAGTTTTGGTAAATGCATGTGTAGCATGTATAGAGTAGGCTCAAGCGTGCATAGATGTTATATATAGAGAAAACAGATTTTCTGAGGAGTTTAACTCCATAGAATAGAAAGAGCGGTGGTAGTTGGAAGGGGCTCTGAGGTCAGGAGAGGGATTTTTTTTTATAAGATGGAGTGAATAATAGATGTTTGTATGCTGATGAGAATTATCTGCAGAGAAAACATTGGTAATTCCGGAGATAAGAGATTTATGAAAGCAATGTCCTTGAATAGATAAAAGGGCAGATCTAGTACACAAATCTAAGCAAACAGCTGCTCTTTTTTCTATAAAAGTTAAGTTGTAAGCATGGGTAGTTTATTCTTGGTAATAAGAGAGAAGATAAAGTATGGACAGAGAAGCAGAAAGGTGGACAGACCTGATAATAGAAGCTTGTGGAAATTCTCTTCTGTTTATCACGTAATGAACTAAGAATTAGGATAATGAAGGAGATACTGAAGATTTGAAGAGAGGGTTGAAGTTATAAAATTGTGGTCTTAAAGAGGCAGATTCAGAGTATGAATGTGGGAAATGTAGTATGATTGTTGACATCCTTAAGTGCTATTTGAGATGAGTCATCAAAAATGAAACCAGTGAGTATAGTTGTGTGTTTCTGCCTGTCTATGTTTAGCTGCGCTGATACATGCATAGGAGCAGAGGGTTGGTTTTAAGTAGGGTTGTAGTTTTAGCCAAATGAATACCACTAAACAAGGCGATATATATAAACACACAAAGATACAAATATTTATATTATATGTATTTGTATAATTATATATGTGTGTGATGGGGGAGCACAGATGATAGGAAGAGTATAGAAGTGTCAGGGGGAAGAGCATTTTAGAAGGCTTTTGAAGAGAATTTGACTATCTGGTACCTTAATAGTTAATATGATTAGCCAACTTCTATTAAGATTATAAAATTGGCATTTAAAGGTCCATTTATCCATTAAAGCTTATGCATATAGCTCAACCCAAGAAAGAAAGAAATGGATTTTGAAGTGACTTTAATGTGGATTGGGGTGAGACCTGAAAGGGCCCTGAAAGGCTCATTATGTAGGGGGCTCTTAAAACTTGAGACTTCTACTTCAAAAGCTGGTTTTGGTTTTGAAGTGGGACAATGTAAGAACCTCTGCAATGATAGAGGTTCCGGGAATGGGAGATAACAGTATGTTTCTCATTCTATCATCTGGACAACCAAATAGCAGTCTTAATGGACAACAGTGAAGCTGAAGGAGGGCATGGTAAATTCAGCTCTCTGAAAGCTGGGACTTGTTAGACTTTTTTCAGTGGAAGAAAGTAATAGAGCTCTCATTTGTCATACCTTTTTTTTATAGTAGATATGACAAAATACACTGTCTTCTCTAGAACTTCTGCTGGGTAATTTCTGAAGACTTAGAGAGCAGTTTACTAAAGAGATGAGCACCAGATGATATTCTGGTCTTTCCAAACCAGATTATGATAGGGAGCTATTATATTTTTAATTAATCGTAGTAATTTCTAAACCTACTTCTTTCACATTTAGGGCAAGAAAACCAACTGGTGGCATTGATTCCATATAGTGATCAGAGATTAAGGCCAAGAAGAACGTAAGTGATTCTAAGAATATGTCAGTGTTTTATGTTTTATTTTTGTATTTTTTCAAATTACATATAAATAATTTGAAACTATTAAAAGGAAAAATGCTGTCACGCTGTTAACGTATGCCATCATATGCTTCGTATCCTTAATCAGACAAGCAAAAAAGGAATTTCTGGTTGGGGTCAAGTCTTGAAAGCAGTGTGGTATCTTTATCTTCTCAAATCTATTGAAGTAGATCTAGAATAGCAGTAGGAAACACACACACACATGCAATTTTCATTAAAAATTGGATGATAAGGTGTCCTTCACAACCCCAGAATAAAAACTGGTTTTTAAACAAGATGATAGAAGGAACCCAAACTGACTTAGCAGCTGCGTGGAGGTGGTGAAGGAAAGCAAAAAGAGAGCTCCTAAGCATCCTATGAGTCCGGATCCACAAAGCAAATACTCTGTCCCAAAAGAAGAGAACCCTCAGCAAATACTTCCAAGAACTATCTGTTAAAATGAGAAGATTCTGCATGCTCTAGCTTGGACAAAGTGCAAAAAGACCACAGAGGTCTATTAAGCATCTTTGAGAAGAAGAAACTGGACCACCCTACATCTTTAGACCTTAGGAAATATCAAAACAAAAAATCTTGCAAAAGGATACAGATACATATTCTCAAGAAAAATGTTGTTGAGTAGAATCCAATTTATATAGGACAAGAGTTAGGAATAAAGGAGAGAACAGATTATTCAGATATTATGGAGATCATCTCAAAACTGTGGAGATAAATATACATGGAGGCCATGTTTTCAGATACTTTGTTTATCAACAGAGGATGGAACCCTTCAACAGTAAAACTAGCAAAGCAACACTGGCATAGTCCATCACCAAAAATGGAACATTTTCTTAAAAATACAAAAGCTCTTCTCATTTAAACATGAGTAACTGGAAAGGATTGCAATAAAGCATTACACAAATATACTTTTTAAGAAGTTGAAGAAAGTAAGTGGAACAAAATGCTGATGATAAAGGCTCATGAGAAGAGCAGATGAACACTTTAATACTGTAGAAGCCAGAACAGGACAGCATAAGGCAGAGATTGAGAAGCTCAGAAATGAGATAACTAAACAATGAGAGTATGTGAAATCAATTTACAGACCTCTGGAAAGAATTAGGAAAAAAAAAACATTTCCACAACTGGAAGAACACAAATACAAATACATTGGAAATGCAGTAAGAGAAGTAGAGCACAAACAGAAAGAATGAAAACATACACAACAAATTAATGTAAAGGATTTGAGAGAAAACGTGTAAGAGTCAAAGAAAACTGAGTATGTATGTAATTGGAGTGTGTGAAGAAGCCAACCATAGGAACAGAACTGAAGAAATAAATGCAAAACATTAAATCAAAAACAGAGACCTACATATTGAAACACACCACAATCCTGAAAATCATCAACTCATTTTAGTGAAATTCTTCAACTTTAAGGTTAAGGAAACAACAACAACAAAACTCCTAAATACCCAGGCAAAAGGATCAATTAATTTAAAAAGGTCAGAAAATTGGATTAACATACTACTACTTATTGACCACAGTGCCTCAAACAAAAAAGCAGTGGAGTGACGTATTTAATAATCAGGAAAATAAAATGAACCAAGGATTTTATAAACAGTCATTCTGACTCTTTATTACAAAATGTATAGACAGATATGAGTATGAAGGAAATTAGGATATCCCTTTATAACCTAAAAGTGGGAGAAGTTTTTCATCTATGATTTTGAATGCAGAAAAGGTAAATTGGACGAGATAAACTTAGAGGATGAAGACAAAACCTTAACTGAAATCAAAATACAAATAGCAAACTGGGAAGTAATGTTTACAAATCATATCACAGACAGAGGGACAGTACTCTATAAAGAGCCTCAGAATTTGAGAAGGAAAAGGCCAACCTCCACAGCAAAGCAGAAGCTATGAATAGCTAGTTCACAAAAAAGAAATGCAAATGACCTTTAAACATCTGAAAAGATGTTCAATCTTGCTTGTAATATAAATGCAAATTAACACTACATGTAGATGCCAATTCCATTAGATTGGCAAAAATCCAAAATGTTGACAACATACTTTGTTGGCAGTACTGACTGAAAACAAGTATATTCACTCCTTATTAGTGAATGGGAATTTGTAATTATTTGCCAAATTACATCTGCATTTACTTTTTGGTTCAGGAATCCTACTTTGAAAAAATTTATTCTAAAAATAGTTGTCAAGTATAGTAAAGGGTATTTGCACAAATTATTTATTGTGCCAATGTTTGCAGAAGCAAACACTGGAAACAATGTAAATACCAATAATAGACGACTGATAGAATAAGATACTACATGTACACAATAGTCCAATGGAATGAGAACTGTATTTTACTGCAGTATGATATTGTGAAAACACAACACTCACACTTACACACATATACACACAAACAGACAAACAATAGGATAAACAAAAAACTAATAAAATTGATTCCCCTCTGACTTGGGGAAGAAATTTGGAAGAGGGAGTGGATATGTATGTATATGTGTGTTTCTATCTATGTACATATATTTTACATCACATAAAAAGTGAAAATTTAAAGTAACTGCCAAAAATTGAGACAAAAAACCAGTATTCTAACTGTAGATCAAGTTTGTGACACTAAGGAAACTGAAATAATTATTTTAAGTGACTTGAAAATATTACGTTATGACTGTAAATGTCTAGTAAGTTGTGTTCCAGATGGCAAAGAGAACCACAACAAATTTTAAACTGAACTTAGTAGTTGCAGTGTTAGGAGTACCTTTGGTGTAGTTTGCAAATTTTATATGTAAAGTAAATAAGAAATTATGTAAATGTCTTTAGGGAACAAGATTTTTAGCAGTAAGTGCAAAGAGATACAAAATCAAAGAAACTGGATTTTCCACTTTCGACCAAAATGGAATAATGCCTGAAATACTCCCACCTGAAATCACTAAAAAACTGGACATATATAGTAAACAGTATTTTCAGACAGTGGACATCAGCCAGCATAGTTCAGTGATTCCTGAGAAAACAAAAACAAAGCAGATAAGCCCTATGATTGCACCAGCAAGCTTTATGATTGTACTTGCTTACTGTCTGAGAATGTTCCAGGCTGCAGTACAAGGTAAGGAGCCAACCCAGACAGAGCTCAGTGGTCTCCCTGAATTGAGGAGATGGAGCTGGGAGTCCAGAAAGCCAAGATGACTAGAGTTTGCAGGGCTGAGTACCAGATGGTAGAGAGCTGCAGAGGGTGCTCTTAAGTCTGCAGCTGTTTCCTGATCAACATATATGTGTGAGGAACATATATGAGGCTGAGGAAAGACCACTCAGTAGAAACAGGGAATAGTCCTCAGAGCTCACACAAGGCCAGAAACAGTTGTTTCTCAATTTGTAATAAAATTATAATATTTTGAGAACAACTTTGGGTCTTTATTTCTTCAAAAATTGTGTGAGTTGTGGTGAGATTATCAGAAAATTATAGTTATCAGTTGCTTTTGTCTGTATACTTTAGCTGTATCATTTAATCCTCAAACATGAATTGTAAAGAGGAAGAAGAAGAAACTGTGTTAAATACTGAGGGCAGGAAATGGCAAAAATGGAATTCTAACTTAATTGCCAATATACCACACAACTTTCATAACCATCAGCACCTTAAACTCCCAGGATTTGGTTGCTATCGCCAGAGCCCTAAGAAAAATCATTATTCATGAACTTTGTAATGAAGATATATATTGTCAGTCAACCAGCCAGTTTTTCAATTTGGAATGAAATACTACATGGAATGTTGTTTTATTGTCCCACCAGGTTCAACAGTACTTGCTTGTTATGGCTACAAACATGGTAGAGTAATTTAGAACCTGATTTATTTATTCACAACTAGGGCTGATTTAGGTCAAAAGCACTAAATAGATTACGATGAGTTCACACACCAATAATTAAAACACGAAAGTGTAGAAAAATCCAACAAAGTTCAGATTTTTATTATGATGATTTTAAACTCTTATACCTTTTTATGGTATATTGGAGGTACCAAAATTTTGGCATATTGTAGGTACTGAAACATGTTTAATGCCTTTTTATGGCATATTATAGGTATTAAAGACATGTTTAAATTTCCTATTAGGTAATCCAGTGGGGAGCACTACCCTACTCAGTTTGAGAGAGTCCAAAATAAGTGAGTGGGAACTGCTTTGTTTGCTCAGGACAACAGTAAGGACTTAGTAGCAGTGACTTAGCAAATTTGTGTTTGCTTGTTTTGTTAATAAACCAGTTTGCTTTCTTTTTACATTGGGCAACTTAAAATACACAGAAATATTTATATAATATCTGCAGGAGGCACATTCATAGCTGTTGTAATGCATACAAAGATTAAATCCATCAAAGCATTTAGAAAGGACTTGGTGGTGAAGAGAGAATGGAAGAAACAATAAAATGAAAAATTTTTGTATGACAAGTATGTAAGGAAAATAGGAAGTAATTGGCATGCAAGACTCAGAAACCAAAAAGGACATTGTGGCCATCCGTTAGAGGGCTTGTATATTAGGGAGAAGAGGAAGTCGTTATTTGAAACTGGTTTTGAGGTTAACCTTGAACAGAGGAAATTTTTATCTACAAAGATGAGAAAGAGCAAGAAATAGAAGAAATGCATTTCAGGAGAGTTAGAAGAATGGCAAAGGCATGTAAGGTTTAGTTTTTTTCCTTGTCTTAAACCTGCATACTATCTCTTTTCTTGATTTAAAAAAAATCTAACACCTTCAAAGCAGAGTTGATCAATGTAAAGTCAGTATTTTTAAAACTGAGTACATAAGTATTTTGAGGTGAGGATACTCAAAAAAAGACTGATCACAGTAAGAATCATTGATGAGGCATGTGGTTATGTCATTATTTTTTTATATTTTAAAAATATCCAGGATGTGCAAGTTTGTTACATAGGTAAACGTGTGCCATGGTGGTTTGCTGTACCTATCAATCCATCCCCTAGGTACTAAGCCCAGCATACATTAGCTATTTTTCCTAATGTTCTCTCTCCCTCATCATTATTATTTTTAATGATGAGCAGTTGCTTTAGGGGATCATGTAATGGCAAAACTCACATGTGAAAATTCTGCTTCAGTGAATTCAGAGGGAGTTTTGCAATGTTTATTTGTATGAAGCTCCTGAGCTTGATTCTAATGTCAAAACCGCTCTGGCAGTCACTAGAGTAAATATTCTGTTGATTTTAAGCCCAAAATCTCAGTCTCCAAAAATGTTATTTCTTTTTTTTTTTTTTTCCATGGAGCCTTGCTCTGTCACCCAACCTGGAGTGCAGTCGGGTCACTGCAACCTCCAACTCCTGGATTCAAGCATTGCTCCTGCCTCAGCCTTCTGAATAGCTGGGATTAAAGACGCACACCCCCACACCCAGCTCATTTTTGTATTTTTAGTAGAGATGGAGTTTCACCATGTTGGTCAGGCTGGTCTTGAACTCCTGACCTTGTGATCCGCCTGCCTCAGCCTCCCAAAGTGCTGGGATTATAGGTATGAGCCACCGTGCCGATCCAGTCTCATCTTTTAAGGAGAACATCTTAGCACTCAATAGATTGAGACACAACTATACCCAATACTTTCAGATGTGAAAATTTGGTAACGTTTAGTGTCTTACACATGTTGCTGTTGATATATGGGGGAAATTGAACATATCTTCTCTAATTTTTCATTATATAATTTTTGATGCACATGTAATTAAATACTCTCTTTTCCTTTTCAGAAAGCTGTATGTGATGGCTTCTGTGTTTGTCTGTCTGCTCCTTTCCGGATTGGCTGTGTTTTTCCTTTTCCCTCGCTCCATCGACGTAAAATACATTGGTGTAAAATCAGCATATGTTAGTTATGATGTTCAGAAACGTACAATATATTTAAATATCACAGTAAGTATAAATTTATATGAAAAATGTTTAACTTCATTCTTTTGTCCTACTAAGAAGCACCTTTGTCCCTATTGAGAAGGTATTTGTTAAATGTGACACTGGTCAGTGTGCTTTCTGTAAGCCTTTGCTGTATTGACTTTCTCTACCATTTCTGGTTGTGCTAAAAATAGCAATAATAAATACTGGCAATTCTCTATATACAGAATCATTTAGCATTTGAAATTAAAGAAAAAAGGTACCACATTTTAGTTTTCAACATTTGACTCGGAATAACTTCTAGCAAAGTGTTGACATAGTTGATTTGATAGGTTTTATAAAGGTAACATTTTCATTTCATTGTATTTGGCGAAATACATTTTTTGCCATCTTTCACAGAGCATTCCTTTATCAGGTTTAAAGATGAAATACAAATGACTAGTTTCTCTTTTGTAAATTAGCGTATGTGAAAATGCCCTGTGTGTTTCTCAGGATATTGTTTTTGAAAGGTCTGTCTAGCTTTGCCACTCATGAAAACAAAACAAAAACCTCAAAGAGGTCTTCCACCTGTTTTACATGTTAACGTTTGTTTGAGCATGGTTTGCTAACTATTGAATTAGGAAAAGGGATGATATATACTGGCCAGCCAAGAGATCTATCTGTGTGACAGTGATCTGCCGGGACGAGTGACAGTTGTTTTTTCTTGCAAAGGTGCGCGGTATGGCTAAGGGTGAGGTAGAGATGTCTGTGGTGGTGGCTGGGAATAGGGAGGTTTGTTGGGACAGCGAGTGAAACAGAATGGTATGTTAAAGTGGAACTGCTACTTAATTACAGAGAAAAAATAACTTTCATGGATCCATGTATCCTTATTGCTTCCTATCAAAAGTTGCCAGTTTAAGGTCTTTTTCTTTAAAAACAACAATACGGGGGAAAAAATATGTACGTGTATATATGTATATACATATGAATATATATGTATATACATACATACACGTACATATTTTTTTTATTCATATATATATATGAATAAAACATTTATGACATTGCTAATTGTAAATTGTTTCATACCACTGGGGAATTATTGGGTATTTTCTCACTTAGCCCGTTGGAACATGGAACATATTTTCTTTTTCGTACAATGTTTAAAACATAGGCCAGGCTTTTTTTTTAGCCTATCTCCAAAGCCTTTTTTAGTGTCAAATACCATAAATATGTACTAATAAATAATAAAAAACCATGTGACATTTTCTTTTAAATACCAGAAAGTATAATTAAATGTGATTATACTCTTTGTTTTAAATAATTATGCAGAAATCCTGACATCTTAGAATACTGCCACGTAATTAAACTGAAACAGACTGAACATGAAATGAAAAATAGGATTATTATTTGGATGAAGATTAACTTTAACTAGACAGATAAGAGGCTGAATTTTCTGTACATTGTCTTTCAGTATTTTGAAAATGGGACTGTTTTGCTTTCTTAAAATGAGTAGTATAATTAGTTGTACTACTTTTTAGTAACATTTGTCTTTCTACTTATGAAAATATTTAATTTTCATTATATGACATTTGAAAACTCCCATTATGTATAAAGATTTTTATGTCTACCTGGTTCAAACTATTAGCGTATACCTTTATTTATGAACAATGGACATACATTTACAAATATAATCAAACATTCTCACATGTTAAAGGATGCACACACACACCCATTCACATATACACAAATGCACATTTCACCTGAGATCACAGTACATTTTCCTATGTTACATGGTCTTGTGTTGTCTTTTACATGATCGCATTATAATTTATTCACCATTTTCTTAATGGATGTTTAATTTTGCTGTTACAAATATTCAGAAAACATCTTGTGCTTAAATTTTGTTTCCATTTCTGTTTATTTCTTTCGGATAAATTTCTGAAAGTACATTTGCCAATTAAAGATCATAGGTAGTTTAGGGCCATTGTTAGTAATTGTTGTGTTCTGTTTTCATCTTTTAAATTAAATGTTTTCTCACTACTCTGGGCAACAAAATGTCTGACCTTTATTACTGCATTTTTATTTATTCTGTCTTATTTTTTATTCGTCTTAATTCTCATAGGTATTTTTATTCTCCACTGTTTTACATCATCAGTCCCTTAAATATTCTAATGAAACTTAGTACAGAAAAAGACATTTATCAGCATAATTTTGCATGTACAGAGACTTCCAAGATTCTTCTAAATCAATCCTTGGTCTTATTTGAAGATCCACTGACCTCAAATTAACAGTCTCTTTCCTATCTTGTCTAGAAATGAAATTAACATGGGAATTAAGAACCAAGTAGAGGAAATATTTATATATTTAGATAAGGGTACTATGTTTGAGACCTTTTTTGAAATTTCTTTACATTTGTGACTATACCAGTGTAAAGGACTGCATAAATGGAATCATGTATTTGCTGACTCTAGCATACTCTTTTTATCCTTTTTACTAAAACTGCTTTCTCTCCTTCAACTCATCCCATATTGCATCTTTGTATATCTTTCTCCATATTCATATTAATATATTAACATTTACATATACACTCACATATTCAGCTTAATAAAAATCATTATTTTTAAAAATATAATTTAGTATTTATGTGCATCTTGGTTTTCACATTTGTTAACACCTTGTAAAAATCTTTTCTAATTATCTGGCTTAATTGATTCTCTTTGATGTCTTCATAATATTACATATAAGGACTTAATATAATTTATTCGTTCCGTTTATGAAACAGAATTCGTTTTATTGTCAGGTTTTTTTTTCCAATTGCAAATAACACTGTCATTAGCATTCTAATGTTTTTATTTCTGTGGAATAGTTGCTTAGAGATAGGATTGCTACATCAAAGTCTATGCTTATTTTAATCTATATTACTAAATTACTCATCAAAATGGCTGTAACACTTCACATATTTGCTAGCAATATAAAAATATACCTTTTATCCATATTCCTGCCAAGAATAGAATTTGTTGCTTTCTAGAAATTCTATTAGTTTTAGAAATTTAAAGCAGTATTGCATTTTTATTTAAATTACCTTTTTTCTGACTATAAATGAATTTGAGCACTGTAAAATATTTCTCAGTCATTTAGCTTTTTACTTTTTTATGTATATCCTTTGTTCTTTTTTTGTTTCCTCTTAGAGTTTTGTCTTTTTCAATTTCTAAGGGCTCTATTCATATTATAGATTATAAACCGATGCTTACAAATATTCTAATTTAGTGTCTACTGATATTATTTATGATACCTTTTGATATGACTGTTTTAGATCATTTCTATATCTGTCATTTTTTGATTAAACATTTTAAAATTTTTTAATGACTGTTTTCTAAATTACTTTGAGGCAGTAGTTGTAAATTAGAAAACTAGAAGGTTATCCTAGATATTAGTTGTTACTTAAGCATAGGAATGATGCAACCACATTTCTCTCAAACCAACAAGACTTGAATCTACCCCATTTCTTTTTCATAGAGAGCTAATGTAAATCTCTACTACTGTATAAGTTTAAATAGCAGTTTGTTTTAAACAAAAAAGATTATTTTAGGTACTATTGAACATTTTAAATGATTATTTTTGTATTTAACAGAATAGGAAATAGCTTATTAATGTAGTTTGTGGAGACATGTATATATACTTTTAAAAATGTAGATTAAATCTTAAAATTATTTGTATCGAACATTCACTAAGGCCATACATACATTTGCTACCATTCATTCGTCCATATTCTGAAACTACATTTTTCTGTTGTTTTTTTTAATGCTGAGTCATATGTTTATTCTAGGCCTATTACATACGTAGTAGTCATGCATAAAAGTAAATAATTGGTTTAATTTTCTTTCACATTTTGTTAATACTATCTTTTCCTTAATAATGAAGCATAGCCACAGTTGAAGTTACTTCCTTTAAATACATATTTATATGTTTGTTTTTAGCTAATTTGTACATTTTCTGTCTTCTTTTTTTGTAGAACACACTAAACATAACGAACAATAACTATTATTCTGTCGAAGTTGAAAACATCACTGCCCAAGTTCAATTTTCAAAAACAGTTATTGGAAAGGCACGCTTAAACAACATAACCACTATTGGTCCACTTGATATGAAACAAGTAAGTATCATGAAATATTTTGGAGGAGTTAAATGAATCTCAACTTTGTATATCATATAACTTGAAGAAGCTGGGGGATTTCCCCAAAAAACTTGATTTAGAAATGTGTCTGCTGGGCACAGTGGTTCATGTACCATGGGAGGCTGAGCCAGGTGGACTACTTGAGCCCAGGAATTTGAGACCAGTTTGGGCAACGTGGTGAAATCTCGTCTCTACAAAAAATACAAAAATAGGCTGAATGTGGTAGTGTGCACCTGCCGTCTCACCTACTGGGGAGGCTGAGGTAGGAGGATTACTTGAGCCCAGTAGATCTAGGCTTGCAGGCCATGATTGCACCACTGCACTCAAAACTGGGTGACACAGTGAGATCCTGTCTCAAAAAAAAAAGGAAGAAAAGAAATGTGTCTTATAAACATATAAGATGATATCTTTGAGAATCAAGCTTGTAAAGGGAAAAATTTCTAATTCTTTGAAGTTATTAAGTATATCTGAAATATTTGATGTTTTCATCCTTATCTCTATTGATTTTTTTTCTCCTTTTTTTGCCTTTCAGATTGATTACACAGTACCTACTGTTATAGCAGAGGAAATGAGTTATATGTAGTAAGTTCTGATTTGTATTCACTTTTTATTATCAAATAATGAAGTGTGTAGAATAAAGTATAAAGACTACACATATTTTTAAATTTCCACAGTCAGAAAGAGTACATTATGGAGTATTTTTTCTAGCTTCTGGTCCTCTCTGTTCTCTCTTTTTCAACATATATAATATTTATGTGTGTGTGTGTGCGTGTGTGTGTGTGTGTGTGTGTATGAATATATATATATATATACATACACACATACTTTTTAAATTTATGTTTCAGGATTAGGGTCATATATACTTTGTTACTTTATTTTTAGTTACTATGTTATAAAAAGCATATTCTTAAACAGTCTTGTGTTTGTTGCTATTTTAGTATGGGGACTGAAAATGCTAATGATTATTGGTTTGCTTATTGGTTTGAAGTTCTGAAGTTTTTACAATGGGTCTAAATGATTATTTACTCTTTTTAGGTAAAAATAATCATCGTTAATTAATTTTATCAATTATTTAAGAATTATAATTATAAATTTTATCATCTTTTGAATAAGCTTATTTATAGAATTTTAGGATACATAACCTGTTTATAAAAATTCAGAAAAGCAAAATATTTAAGTAATTTATAGCCTGCATTTAAACAACTCTGCAATTGCAGTGATATGAGTACATACATGTTTTTCAAATAGGAAGTCATGAATATATCATTGTTCGAAGTATACAAAATGTTCAACCAACAAATGCTTACTATATAATCTTAGATAGCATCCTTGTTAGCTTTAATCTAAGGAAAATTTTAAATTTATAATGTATTAACTTGTATTTTTTCACAATTTAATTTCTTTAACAGTGATTTCTGTACTCTGATATCCATCAAAGTGCATAATATAGTACTCATGATGCAGTAAGTATCAATTTGTTTTGAAAGAGATATTTCTTATTAAAATTTTAGATTGATGACACTGACTTATAATATACACAATATCTTTATAAATGCCACCTCAGTTGGGTTTTAAGCCTTACAAGAGTACTATGAGGTCAAGTAATTTTCACCCACTTTAAAAATTAGGAAATGGTTGCTCAGAGAAGTAGCGAAAGGCTACATGACTTCTAAATAGTGAATCTGGTTATCACAAGAGTTCCGAAAAATGAAAAGAAAAGAGCGAACTGAGTCTCACATCCAATTCCTTACTCCCTTAATAAATAGTCATTAACTGTAATAAGGAGATATTAGTGGTTTGTATAAATTGGGTGTTATCTAAGCCGATAAAACACTGTTGGTTACAGGTTTGGTATTTTGACCATTAGCTGATGTTTGATTAACCTTTTTTCTACAGTGAGAGAACCATGGTCACTTTTAAGCATACAATGAACTTTTTTATTTTTAACAGAAGATAATTGTTTTAAAATATTACACTTATTACGTGTAATTATATCGATAGGGCTCGCTCAGCTATCATTTTTGTTGTCTATTGGGGAATATTCCTTAAGAGGTCTCTGTGCACAACATTCAGTTATCATTAATCAGATCTCTTCTGGGAGAGAATTTTTATGTGTAAAAGTAGTCTCACTATGGAAAAACTTCTAATATAACTGTTAAATGTTTCTCCCCACTTACTTTATTTTTAGAGTTACTGTGACAACAACATACTTTGGCCACTCTGAACAGATATCCCAGGAGAGGTATCAGTATGTCGACTGTGGAAGAAACACAACTTATCAGTTGGGGCAGTCTGAGTATTTAAATGTACTTCAGCCACAACAGTAAAAACTGTAAGAGATGGATTTAAAGAAGAAATATCTATTGATATTTCCTATACTCTCAATGAAGAGATATTTCCTAATAGGAGATCTTAAATTGAACAAACCTAAAGTTTACACTTCTATTTTAAGAGTACAGTTAAAAATATGTGGACCTTCAGTTCTTGTAACTCTCCACTCTGTGTTAATGATGTATTTGTACAAGGATCTTTTACTTGAATCTGAAGTTACTGGTTGATTTCCTTCTGCAGCCTATCCCCTACAGGGAAAAGCTGAGACTTCTCCTATAGGACAATAGTTATTTAAAAGTCATAGCTGAAGTCACTACTGAAAACATAATTTTGGTGATGAACATAATTTGAGAAACTTAATTTCTGAATGTTTTTATAGAAAATTATTAAAAGTCTATTATTCATGGAAGACTTTTAAAGAATAACCTTTTTTCCTGTTTTATAAATTCCCATTGTTATATGGTAGTATTTCAGCTACAAAATATTTTAGCTTTTAGCTAAAGATTTATAGCTTTTCATTTGTTGAAGCTAATCATCTGCATGTTTTGTGACTTATTTCAAGTTAGTGATTGCCTAACACTTATAAGCCAAAATAATTTTTGCAAAATTCCACACCTAAAATTTTTCACACATTTTTCTGTATTACAGTGTTGTGAAATCTGTATGTGATCTTCAGACATTATCATTTAATGTACAATACTGTAAATAAACTGTGCATGGCTTTCGTACAGCTTTAGTAAATGTCAAATAAAGTGGTACAGATTTATTAAAACAAGTTTCTCATAAAAATATAATAAATAGGAAAATAAAATTCAGAAACCCACAGAATGGGAATAGGTTCCAATTACATGTTGGATCTGGCATGTAAAATAAATTTGAAATCAAATGTTTTGATGCTCCATTTTTTTATGTTGCTTTTCATACTAAAGAATGGTGTAGACATGTTTTACAACTGTTAGGTACCCAGTTATCAATTTTATGACTGTTTCAGATGAGGAAATTATTTCTTTTGACAGAAATTGTTCAAGAAATCCTGTCATTAAATGATGCTGGCTATATCAAAATAAAGCCTATTTAGAAACCTAATCACTTTCCACATCATTTGGAATATGATGCCTCTAGTAGTTACTTTTTTATAGTTTTCTACTTTTGGTTTTGATTTTATTTAAAATTGTTTTCAAATATAGATTATTGACTTCAGCGTTTTATATTTTCAGTATCATTTTTCTTTCTTTTTTTTTTTTGTCTTTTTACTTACCAAGTTCTAGGGACATTTAAAATATATATCACTAAGTGTAAGAGTGATTATGATACCAAAAATGTAGGTGGGTGTAGATTAATTTCTTTCTATTTTCTAGTAATAGAAATCAGGTTTCCCTTTCCCCATCCCTAAGTGCCTAACTTAGGTCTGAAACAGCCTGTTTATCAGTCTGACTCTCTCAACCATAAAACGTAGCTGCATTTGTTTAATTCTGCCTTTAAACACATTCGTGTTTCCCCTTATTTGTCATATTATTTTCTCCAACTTTTCCTGAGTGAATCTTAAATGAGTCAAATGTGTGTGTGGGTGTGTTTTTTTAACTAATCTTTCCTTAATTCATTGCTACCTCAAACCATTCTTACTATTAAACCCAAATCAATTATTTAAGTTCATTATGACCTTTCTAGTAAAAGAAAAAAAATCGTTTTCATTTTTCTTCTATGTTTTCTGACTACAATTTTCATTAATACTGCATACTTCTCTGATACATTGATTGTATTTTTTATATCTTTCTCATTTTCTCATTTTGACATGATCTATGTCTATGTATAATGTAGGTCCCATTTTGTCTCAAAATTTTTTATTATGTGACTTCAAAAATCACCTGTATCCATAGTAGGGCTTCCAAATTTGCTTTCCTATATGTGAACAGTCATCTGTCTGCTTTCACATTTATCTAGTTAACTACAATTTTACTAAAATGAGTAAATTTACACATTTAGTGACTGGGTAAATTAAAAAAAAATGTTAAAGACATTTTATCATATCCTTTCTATTAGGTGCCCACCCTGTCCTCATGTCCCATTTACTTCATTATCACCATTCATTTCTCCAGAATTATCTTTTAGATATGCTCATATATAAATCACTCCTTGTTTTCTTGCTTGTGTCTTTTAACCTTGGAAAACTACATTGTGTAAATTAAACAGATTTTTCTCATGATCTGAGCTTCTTAGATCTTATTAGAATACATACTCAGTTATCTCCTGAAAAGGATGGAAAGTAGAAGAAACATTTGCTTTTAGTCACTTAGGTTTGAATCTTTTTTCTTCATCTTTTGAGTTAAAATTTTTAAACTGCATCTAGTTTCAGTGGAGTTTGAGTCAAAAAAAAAAAGAATTTGAAACAAGTAAAAAGGTAGAAGAGAAATATAAGATGGCATGTGACTACTTTCAGAGAGAGTTAAGTAACTGTCAGAATAAGTCTGGAACAAAACAGGTTGTAAATTAATAGAACTATAAATACACATTCAGGTGAAGCATACGTATAGCCATAAAAAATCTAGAAAGAGTGAGTAAGGCTTTTAGCTTTTCGTTGGTCAATGTCCAATGTGCTTTCTTCCAAGGGAATAGGATAGGTATCAGTAAACTTTCTAACCTGCTCTCAGACCTTATTTAGAGGACACAACAAAGGTATGTTACAGAAATTTTTCTGATACTTCCTGGACCAACTTTTTTTTAAACTATACCCTAGTAGACTAGTCATTCTAATAAAATTGAATACTCTGGCAAACATCTGTATGTTGATAGCATGTTGGCCCTTTTTAGAGTCCTTTCCTATGTTTTTATGATTTTCCACAGTCCCATGAGTCAAACAAAGTAGGGTGATTGGCTTCTTATTTTTTATAAAAGGAAGTAAAGGCATGAAGAATTTGAAGGACTGGCGGAAGATCACATACTTAGTAAGTAGTATAATTGGAGCCAGACCTAGTTTCTCTGTCTCCCATATCTGTGTTCTATCATTTAAAATATATATTGGAAATCCCTGCTGACTCAGATTGTTATGATTAAAAATTAGAGGAAAAGTTCAAATACTATTGACAATAATACTGATACTGCTGGGCTAAGATTTTGGTAGCATTAAGTTGCTTTCTAAAATATTTTAAATGGAGAAAGAACACTTGTAAAATGCTTTGGAATATAATCTGTAGCTTAATTTTCTGTTAAAATTTAGTGCCTCTTCATCATTCCAATAAAGACTGATCCATTGTCTGAGGAAATTATTTGTGAATAATAGAGATTAATGTATTTGAGATATGAAATAAGAATAGTATAAAAATGTTAGATACCACATAAATTGCTTGAAATTACTAAACCATCTTTATTATGGAACATGTAAATGACTGTATTTATTTGTGTACAGTTTTTCTGTGCCTTTTTTGTTTAGACCAATGAAGCAATTATTTTCTCTGAAAGTATCATGACAGTAAAATATAGCACACTTCAGATTGTCTGATTTACAGTTTGGAAAGAACATTGCAATGTTCAAACTGGTAAGGGATGACCATCAAAAACACAATTAAAGTAACATATAGGAGACTTGAAACTTTTGCCTAATCCTTTATGGTTCTTAGCCTTATTAGTGTGATATAATTCTAGATATTTTCTTGCAGGACATTTGCCCAACTCTCCCCAACTCCATTTTGTTTGTCTTTTAAAGCTCTTAGAATAAACAGTTCTTTATATAATAGTTATATTTTAAGAAAATAGGTACTTTTTAAAAGATGTAAAATTTTAAATTTACAAATACATATGCGTCTTTGACAAGCAATATGAATTGAATTTCAAGTTATTAGGGTTGTAAGCAAGATTTTTAGCTCACATCTGGAAGCAGCAACTACTTGGTTCAAGTACATATAACAGTAATTAGTTTTATTTCTTCTCCCTTTTTTATAAAATCAGGTTTCAGGTGAGATGCTTATCTTAGACTACTTTGTTTTAGGAAAAATTTTACATATTTGAGATGGTGGAGTAAAAAGACTGCTAAACATTTCTTTTAAAAAATTATTTTTACATTACAACAATATATTTATGGTGAATTTACATCAAAAATTTAACTTCTGTATCTCAGATCTACTTATTTTAAAGTGAAAATTTCATTTGTCAGCTGAAATTTGTAACTAGAACTAACATTTGTGTATTTTTGTGCTGAGTCAGAATACAGATTTCACAGTGGATTTTTGAAGTTTGACCTTAAATTGGATAAAATCAAGTGATCAGTTACTAAAGAGATAAAAATGGTAATTTCCATTTTTAAAACTAATTTGTGTTTGTAATTCTTTATCAAGTGTTTATCACAGACTCTAAATTGAAAAATATCGTATGATCTATATTTGACCATAAAAGTGTTCCATAAATTAATTTAACAAATATATGGCAAATCTTTCATAACTAACTCTAAGTCTTCTAAAAGGGAGCCATTACCTTCTGTTTAATTACATTAATTGAAATGTGTTTAAGTGATATGATTTCAGCATACTTTGTATATTAAAAAAAAAGGATTCGTATTGGGCCAATGGCCAAAAGGTAATATTACTACCATGTAGACTGTTATAGTTCAAATTGTCCCACTTCCCCCAGAATTTTAGAAACTAGAAGTCTGGGAGATACTATATCAGCTGTAGTTGGATAATTCCAAGTGCTGATCGTACTATTCCTCTTTTTTATTATTGTGTCAGATGAAACAAATGCCAGGTTCCAAAAGATGCAGATTTTTATCATATAATGATTTTAGGCATAAATTATCAACAAGCCATGCCTTGTATGTTTTGTCTTGTATTTATCTTTAGAACTAAACTATGAACGAGTTTCGAAAATGATTTGACATGCTTGCACACTTGATCTACTTGGTCAGATATTTGAATGATGGTATTACCTAGATTTTAATCTTTGATTCTAATTATATAATAAATATAACACAGAATGTGAAAATAGGTTTGGGCACTTACTGTTTATACTATATAGTGGCCTCCATCATGACACACTTACTACATTTATGAATTGAGCAGTTCTGTAATTGTAATTATTTTGCTGTTCATGTAACAAAACATGCTTATGATAGTAGCAAACAAATAGAAATGTCCCCAAAATGCTATTTTTTTAATTGAGTTGTAACTGTTACTCTTGTAATTGTGTATGACACAATAAAATTTGTAAAAAAAAATTTAGCATGAAAAATAAAATTTGTATCACTCATGTATTTTGGCTACACTTTTGAAATTTCCTTGACATAAACAAATCAGTGTATATATTGAAAATCTTTTAGCTTTAATCTCTTCAATCCGTATAGTCCTTATCTGAACTCCACTTTAGCATTATTTTTGATTTATTTTTTTCTACCAACTTAACTTCCAATCAGTGCTCAAGTTTCATTCATTTTACCTCTGTAATGTCTCTGGAATTTATCTCATAGGTGAAATTTCTCTTTCTATTATAGACATACCTTGGAGATATTGCAGGTTGGTTCCACACCATGTCAATGAAGTGATAACATAATAAAGCAAGTCACACACATTTTTTTGGTTTCCCAGTACATATGAAAGTTATGTTTACATCATACTATAGTCTATTAGTGTGCAATGGCATTATGTCAAAAAACACAATGTATATGTAGGTTGGGTGCAGTGGCTCACTCCTGTAATCCCTGCACTTTCAGAGGCCAAGGTGGGAGGAATGTCTGAGCCCAGAACTTCAAGACCAAACTGTTCAACATGGCGAGACCCCATATAAAACACACACACACACACACACACACACACACAATTGCTTAAAAAATGTTAATGATCATCTACGTGTTCAGAAGTTTGTACTCCTTTTGCTGGTAGAGGATCTTGCCTGGATGTTGTTTGCTGACAGATTCATGCAGTGGTTCCTGAAGTTGGGGTGGCTATGGCAATTTCTTAAGATAACAATGAAATGTATCACATCTATTACCTTGTCCTTTCATGAAAGATTTCTCTAGCATGTGATGCAGCTTGATAACATTTTACCAATGGTGGGGCTTTTTTCAAAATTGGAGCCAGTCCTCTCAAACCCTGCCTTTGCTTTATCAACAGTGTTTAAATAATTTTCTAAATTATTTATTGTCATTTCAGCAATGGTCTCAGCATCTTCACCAAGAGTAGATTCCATCTCAAGAAACCACTTTCTTTGCTCATTTTTAAGAAACAATTCCTCATCTGTTCAAGTTTTGTCATGAAGTTGTAACAATTCAGTCATATCTACAGATTCTGTTACTAAATTTTAGTTCCCTTGGTATTTCCACATCTGCTGTGACTTCCTTCACTGAAGTCATGAACCCCTCAAAGTTATCCATGAGAGCTGAAATCAACCTCTTTCAAATTCCTGTTAATGTTTATATTTAGACCACCTCCCCATATCACAAATATTCTTTAATGGCATCCAGAATGGCAAATCTTTTCCAGAAGGTTTCTATTTACTTTGCCCAGATTTGTCAGAGGAATCACCACCTATGAGAGCTATGGTCTTACAAAATGTATTTCTTATACAGTAAAATTCAAAAGTCAAATTTACACCCTGATCGATGGCTGCAGAATGTATGTTAAGAGGCATGAAAACATTAATCTCCTTGTACATCATCAGCTGTTGGGTAACCAGGTACGTGGTCAATAAGCCCTGATATTTTGAAAGGAATTTTTTTTTCTAAGCAACAGGTCTCAACAGTGGGCTTAAAATATTCAGTGAAACATGCTGTAAACAGATGTACTGTCACCCAGACTGTTCCATTTACTGAGCACATGCAGAGTAGGTAAAGTTTTAAGGGCCCAAGGATTTTCCGGATGGCAAATGAGCATTGGCTTCAACTTAAAATTACCAGCTACATTCACTACTAAAAAGAGTCAGCTTGTCCTTTAAAGATTTAAAGGTAAGCAATGACTTCTCTTTAGCTATGAAAGTCCTAGATGGCACCTTTTTGTAAAAGAAGGTTTTTGTATCTACATTGAAAATATGTTGTTTAGTGTAACCACTTTCATCAGGGATTTTAACTGGATATTCTGGATAATTTACTGCAGTTTCTCCATCAGCACTTGTTGCTTCACCTTGTAGTTCCCTCATCTCTCTCAGCCTTCATAGAATTGAAGTTTTAGGGCCTTGCTCAGGATTAGGCTCTCACTTAGGGAGTGTTCTGGCTGGTTTGATCTTCTATCCAGACCACTAAAATGTTCCCCTATCAGCAATAAGGTTGTTTCATTTTCTTATCATTCATGTGTTTTCAGTTACTTATAGTACACTTTTCAATTACTTATAGTAAGGAAACAGCACTTTTAATTTCCTTCAAGAACTTTTCCTTTGCATTCACAACTTGTCCAAGAGACCTAGCTGTCAGCCTATCTTGGCTTTCCAAGATAGTCCTTAGTGAGAAACACTTGATCACAAAGTATAATTATTTCTAGCTTTTGATTGAAAGTGCGAGATACATGATATTCCTTTTACTTTAACACTTAGAGGCCATTGCAGGATTATTAATTGGCCTAATTTCAATGTTATTTTGTCTCAAGGAGAGGGAGGTATGGAACAGCTGGTTGGTAGAGCAGTCCAAACCTATAGTTTTTTCAATTACATTCACTGCCCTACATGGGTATGATTCATATAAAAACATTAAAGATCACTGATTAAAGATTATTATAACAGAATTAATAATAATGGAAAAGTTTGAAATACTGCAAAATTTACCAAAATGCAAGAGACATGAAATGAGAACATGCTGTTGGAAAAATGGCATTCATAGACTTGGCACAGGATCGCAAGAAACCAATTTATCAAAACTACAATATCTGCAAAGCACAGTAAAAGGAGGTATGTCTTAACTTCTTTTTTTTTTTTTTTAACTGAAAAAAGCCCAAGTTCTTACTCTGGTTTTGAGAACCTTTCATTACCTGGCTATAATCTCAATTCACAATCATTGCTTATTGCCCTTTACCTATGTCCCAACCAAATAGAGATATTTCTCATTGGAAACAGTTCATTCCTTTATCCCTTTGCTGATTCTGTTCCTTTTCTTCAGAAAAGTATTTGTCCCTGTTTTTTATCCCACAGTCCTATCTTTTCCAATGCCTACTTCATGCCCAACGTGTCTCTACTTGTCTCCCTCTAAACTTCCTCAAACACTTGGTGAATTTTTTGTTTTTTTCTGAATGTTTACTTTTATGGGAATTGCCCAGTCATAAAGTTAGAACACAAGTTTTTAACTCAACTTTGTTTTGAACTCAAAACCTGTGTTACTTTGTTTTGTCAACTTTTTTATTCAAACAATTTTTGTCAGCTTAAAGTTTGTGTTTTAATCACCATTTAAAAAATCTTGAATCAGGTAGTATCATTAGAAATAGATGGAATGTGCCCAAAATTATCTCTGTGGAAAAATACAGAAAAAAATGAAAAGATGTATTAACTGAATGTGTTCCTCCTACCCAGTTTCTCAGGGGAGAATCATTAACAAGTTTGTGAGGCTTTTCTTCTGGTAGATTTCTGTTTCCTTGATCAGTGCTTTTTCAGAATCTTTTTAAGGTTGTGAAATATTTATTTTTAAATAGTGTCTTATGTGGAACCCGGATATGTGTCAAAACAGCTGCTTTGATTTAGTTGAGAGCTGACCTGCAGCCCCTGACTGCTCACCTTTCCAGGAACCCCTGAGTCACTTTCATACAGGGTAGTGTACAGTCACTTCTTCAATGGTAACTTATTGAGTATGATTTAACAAAACTGCTTTAGTTGATGGGTGAAACATAATTTAGAACTAGGCAAACATAGGCTTAAATTTATAGTTTATAAATAGCTTTGAAAATGGTAATAAAGAGACAAATGTGATTTCCAAGTTTTAAGAAATTATTTTCCATTTTAGCATATATTTTAAATGTTTTGTCTTCAAAGGGAATCCTTTAAAAAGATGTATTGGAAACCATTGATTTCTTATTTTCATTTCATGAATTTTAGATTCATGAATGGAATATATCAATAATGGCATCTTTAAGTTACCCAAAAAAGATTAAATATACACAATTTTAATCTGAAATCTAGATACTTCTTTTTTTTTAATACTTTAAGTTCTGGGATACATGTGAAGAATGTGCAGGTTTGTTACCTAGGTATACATGTCCCATGGTGGTTTGCTGCACCCATCAACCTATCATCTGCATTCAGTATCTCCTAATGCTATCCCTCCCCTAGTACCTCACCCCCAGACAGGTCCCAGTATGTGATGTTCCCCTCCCTGTGTCCATGTATTCTCATTGTTCAACACCTGCTTATGAGTGAAAACATGCAGTGTTTGGTTTTCTGGTCTTGTTTCAGTTTGCTGAGAATGATTTTTTCCAGCTTCATCCATGTCCCTGCAAAGGACATGAATTCATCCATTTTTATGGCTGCATAGTATTCCATGGTGTATATGTACCACATTTTCTTTTTTTTTTTTTTTTAACAAATATTCATAGAGTAGAACCCCAGCTTGAGGTACGTTTATTTCTTTTTCTTTTTCTTTTTTTAATGCATTTTAGGTTTGGGGGTATATGTGAAGAACATGCAAGATAGTTGCATAGGTACAAATGTGGCAGTGTGATTCGCTGCCTTCCTCCCCTTCACCTGTATCTGGCATTTCTCCCCATACTATCTCTCCCCAACTCCCCATCCCCCACTGTCCCTCCCCTATTCCCCCCAACAGATCCCAGCGTATAGCGCTCCCCTCCCTGTGTCCGTGTGTTCTCATTGTTCAACACCCACCTATGAGTGAGAACATGCAGTATTTCATTTTCTGTTCTTGTGTCAGTTTGCTGAGAATGATGTTCTCCAGGTTCATCCATGTCCCTACAAAGGACACGAACTCATTGTTTTTGATTGCTACATAATATTCCATGGTATATATGTGCCACATTTTCCCTGTCCAGTCTATCATTGATGGGCATTTGGGTTGATTCCAAGTCTTTGCTATTGTGAATAGAGCTGCAATTAACATACATGTGCATGTGACTTTATAACAATGTTTTATAAGCCTTTGGGTATATACACAGTAATGGGATGGCTAGGTTTAATGGTATTTCTGGTTCTAGATCCTTGAGGAATCACCACACTGTCTTCCACAATGGTTGAACTAACTTACACTCCCACCAACAGTGTAAAGGTGTTCCTATTTCTCCACAGCCTCTCCAGCATCTGTTGTTTCCCAATCACCTTTTAATGATCACCATT